CAGATACACGATCTAATTTACATAATTAATGACAAAAGTACTATAAATCTGCTGTGTTCCATAATAGAACAATTAAAATGGTGGCATATTTAATCAAGAGGAAGAGGAACAGTAACAGATATTAATTATGTAAATTGTGACCCAATTTGATTAATTGATAAATTGATAAGAGAAATCTAAATGTCTTTCATACTGCAGTTACGTAGTGGACTTTTGGTGATTGTTAGTTTTTCAGTAGTTGAAGTTGTAGAATAGAATTTTTTCTTAAATTTTTTGTGAATAGGTTAAGGGTTTAGATTGAGGGTTTAAAGTTTGGAGTCTGTAGTAGGTTGTGGGTACGTGTAATAGCCTAAGGACATTTTGTTTGCACATCTTTAAAGTGTAGGCGAAGTCTTTGTCCTTTTATGTAGTTGGTTAAACTAGCAGCATAGTTGGGTTAAGTAGGTTACGCTAACAGGCGTGTTGTTCTATGTAGTTGGTTAAGATAACAGATATCAGGGTGAACTAAGGTAAGATAACAATCACACTGACAGGGTGTAGAGATAATTGTTTGAACAGTACCAACGAAGTGTCCTATAATAACAAGAGTCTCAGCTACTCTGAAAACAGCCCTGACAAGTTAGTACTGTATATCAAAATAGACACAGATGTGGAAGTGGGTCACATCCTTGAGCTCTACATTATCTGGGGCAGGCAAGCAGTTTTGATAGAAACAGGCTGGTCACAAATATTTGGTGTCAATAAGGCTTAATTTGCATAAATAATGAGAAAAATGCTATAAATAGTAGTATAATGCAATAGTGGCGACTGACAGAAATTTCATACTGGCTGCATTTGGAAGTTTGACTTTGATGGGCTTTGTGGGGGGTCCCCATGTCATTGAATTAGAACGTACTGCAGTGAAACTTCTGGCTTTTAAATTTCGTGATCTGGACGTGCTAGGGTCATGATTTTTAGATGGTAGTTAGCTCTCGTTCTTTGACATGCTGCATTTTCCCCCTAACTTGTTAAGGGGCTCTGTTGCAGGACTGCTGGACTAGTATTGAGCTTCTCAGACAGTTATCAACAACTCCAGCTCTCTAGCGTTTTGAAGTCGTGTAAACAACGCTAATTGTCTGATTTGCTGGTAAACCAATACCCTAGACCTCGAAAATAAAGACTTATTTATTGTTGTAGGTGAACACAGATTTGCAAAACTGCCCCAAAATGAAAGTTAACATCATTTGTTAACATCATTAATTTTGTCGAAGGCATGAAATCGTGGAATTCTAGTTTGCGGATAAAGAATGATTTTATATAAAATTCACCTTTGTACATTCCAAAATCTCTTCTATATGTATTCTAAAAACTTCCACCGCGATCGTTACCTGTAGAAATGCGTTCGATGTGTGTATGCCTACAAGAAAAATCCCACCAATTATAAACAATCAAGACACCGTGTAAGGTGGTGACAACTTTAGGATTTTAAGACACTCTTACTTTCAAACTCTTGCTTTCACTACCATATTTACACTTTGTACAGCGGACATCCAACATTCGACATTAAACACATGGAGGGATTTTGTCGTCCGTTGTCTGTTGAAAAAGCTAAAAGTCAAACTAGGCGTGTCATTTCAACACGTTATCTATAGTAAACTTGGTCAATTGCGAAGATCCCGCCAATACGGGGACGCCTAAGCTTAATATCCTGTGGCTTTCTGTTGTTCTGATGTGACAAACTTATCAGATAAGACCCTAAGTATGTATAATATGTAAGGTGTGTTAAGGTGTTACGCTTAGCTATTGTAGTGCGCAAAGGAGTGCCGTTTCTATAGGTTATTTGTTTGGTCATGTGGAACAGGTCACAACGACTTGATTTTATGGATGACATCCTCTAAG